CACCAGATGAAGGTCATACTAAATTTGTAGTTAGCCTATGCATAATGCAATGTATATTGTAATTATTTTTGAATAGTGCATGTTATAACAGCAGATTGACATACAGGTAATATGGCAGTTGGTGATGTAAGCAAAAATAGGGAGGCACTTTAAACATCATTGCAAAGGTGTAGTACCAACTACCAAGAGGTTTTACTAATAAAACATCTTTGATGCTACACTGCACTTCATATGAACTGCTGTACAATTGATATTTGGTGCATAATAATCCTGGATAGGTCTAAATACTGGTAAAACTTTTAAATTCAACCGGTCTTGGTTTCAAGACCTGCAAAACATCAATACTCAAATGGTCTGAAAAAGACCTTCCGATGTGGAGTCTTGAGATCTACAACACTGATATTTATCACAACTGTATCGTGAATATATTCTAAATGATTAAATCTTTTTATGATATTCTAAGAAAACACATACATACTACACTACCAAAAGCTTTGGGATAAAGCACCCTGAAATAGTATCAGACCCATACTCATTAAATCTGTATAAGACCCAATGGTGTACTGTTACATCATTTATAAATGTCAGGTAGCCAGAAAGAATCAGCTGGTGTTAGGATATTATGAGAAAATATCAGGACATTCATGGAAGAATGACTACCCATATGAGATTCAGCCAACCCACTCATATTTAAATCCAGTGCTGGAAATGTACTAAGAAACTAGAACTCAATTGAATATGCTAATAGAAAATACTGACTAAGTCACTCAGAATAATATACTTAAATCGATGCAAACTTTAAAACTTATCATGAAATGACACTACACATCTGGCATTAAACTCAACATCAGTACTTTTAATAAGATATTAGATCGCAAGTTCCATCCTGCTGGATTTTAAGGGAGTGCAGCAGACCCTAATTCACTCATCAGTCGTGAGTTTTTAGTGTCAGTTCTCATAGTGCTTTGAACAAAAGGAAACATTCATATGGAGTAATAAATATTGCTACTCATTGTTTTGTATGGACTGATCTGGGTCTGAAGGTAACCTGGAGAACATTTTGGATATGACAGAGGTATCCCAATCACAATGATTGGTGGTGTTGGTGTATGTGGGGGGTGATATCATAGCATAGGCTTGTTTTAGCTGCTTCGAACTTGGTCCACTGATAACAGTTAAGAAAGACATGAATGCCTTAGTACTGTGACATTCTGGGCAATAGTGCACTACCTGCATTGTTGAAATTCTTTATGGAAGGATCACATCTCTTTCAGCAAGATAATCCAGTATGTAATACCACATGACATGTCAAGCAGTGGTTTGAGACAAGTAACTTAGAGAATCTGCTTCGGCCACCACAGAACTCTGATATAAATAAAGCTGAAATGCTCTGGAACACGTTTGGACGAAAAAGACAAATGCTTTCGAAGAGAAATAGCATCTTTTGTACCAAATATGAACCGATGGTTACTGACAAAAGTTAGTAGGTATTCAGATTGTGTCCAATTCTGATGCTGGACCCACCCCCTAACAACAACAAAATATGACATCCCCTCTTCTCTAATAATATTTTTGGCAACAAAGAATAAAATGCTCGAAATCAAAAGAAGTATGTGGTGCACATGATGAGGTTAAATATGTAGGGTGTTTCAAATGGTAAGTTTAATTGGACATTTTAAATGTTGTTAAAATAGTGATGGGATGAAAACTCTTTGTTTTACTAATAAATATGCAACTGTAGTGTAAACTTCTCAACGGCAACTGACGAATGTTGCTAAATGCCACTGAAATGTTGTCAGGTCAGAGAAAAGAGGGAGAGCAGGATGCATGGGAATATGAAGTAAGCAATTAAACTTCAAAGCAAGTGTAGCAAGACAACTTTATGCAAGGAAAACTGAATTCAAAACAGGTGTTTTTTTTTCTCTATAAAACAAAAAAGAGGCTTATAATCATAAATATATGTTCTGAAGATACAGGAATGGGAAAAATCCTTATGAAGTGGTGGTATAGAAAACAAGGTATTAAGTTGGTGCTAGTATGCCATATTGGTCCACTAAAAGAACTAATGGCATACAAATATTAGACAACTGCCTAAATAAATAATTTTATTCCATTTTATCAACTTTATATTTATAATAATATTGAATTACATGTCCTACAATTTTTAAACAGAAAAAATATGGCTTATTTTAAATTGTACAAAACAAGATCTATCAAAAGAGATATTCCACAATACTAACCAACATATATCAAAAACAGAATGTCTTTCATCAGAGTCACTATCCAATGACTGTGATCCACTGATAGCACCTTCAACACTCAGAGGAGACTGAGGCAATGAGGGTCCATTACCCGATTCAGCATCCTCATCTTTACTTTCAGTTCCTTTGCCAGGTTGAATTGTTCGGATAGGGGACCTTTACAGAATAAGAATGAATCTGAAAACTCATTATAGAAAGCAAGCCGCAAAATAAACTGAATGAGAACAATAATAAATCCACACATAGGTAAATCAACATTTTCAAAAGTATTCACAAAGTTATTAATCTCCACAATACTAAATGGTTGTTTTAATCTTTTAAACTGGACTAAAGAAATATTCAAACTAAATAGTCCTAAACATGATCCTGTAGTAGTTTTTACAATAAAAGTATTAAATGTACAAATATCATGTGATAAAACCTTAATACGATCACCTACATTCTAGAAAGGTAACAAACACTTCATGTGGCTATTCCTCAACACGATCTTGTGGTCTGAATAAACATAAATATTAAACAAATTCAACTTGTCCTCCACATGATATGGTCTTCATAATAATAAACTTAACTAGTCCTCATCATCATTTAGTTGTCTATACAATCACATACATCAAACATAGTCCATTAAAAAACACAGTCCATTTATACAGCACTACTCACTTCAGAAATTGACAACCCCATGCAACAAAATGTTCAGAAATCTACACGTCCCATCACAATCCCATAAAATACACAAGCAAATCAAATGTAACTTTTATTTACCAAATGTTTTACTTAACAATGAACAGTTTTTGACATTGCTGCACTCACCTAGTCTTAAAGAAAACGTAAAGCAATTCAAATATTTTTACCAAAACTTAGCATATCTAATTTTTGTGTATGACATAAGCAGCGAATGTCTAAGCTGAGATACAGTCGAAGTTGGAAAACCTTTCATCAATGTACTTGACCATTCTGTCAATTATTTTAACATTACTTGTTAAACTGGCTGCTGGTCCAATTTGATCTCAGCTTAATCATCCCAAAATTTTCTTTTTTCTGGATTGTACATCTTAAACTGCTGTATGTGTACACCTGAGTCATTCTTCAGTTCAACAAATCTTAAGACACACTGTTTCACTGCAGGCTGGACATGTATTGCCAGTAGGTCATTAGACTGAAAGAATTCTGAAAGATGTGATACTGGCTATAGGATATCTCTTAGGCTTTACTGTGTTTCGCTGAAACTGACACCAGTGACTGCAACAAGGACCTTCCTTGTTTTAACTGCAGATTCACCACTAATTTGACCTAAGTGCAAAAACTACAACCTGCAGGTTTTGCTGCTTGGCATTTAGATTTACTTAAGATCCATCGCACCTGTTTCACAATAGTGAAGTGAGCAAAAAATTATCTATAACCTTTCCAATATATTTTGCATCTACTCACTTTTTTGGGCTTTTGAGTAAAATTTAAAAATCTCTTTCAAACTGAGCATTGTAAGACATAGAATTCATTGCATCTAGAATAGCCAACTGGAAGTTGGAAGCTACACAGTGGAAGGATAGTAAAATTGATTTATCTTTTTCTAGTAGTGATGCACCACCACCTTTGTGATCCATCATAATAACTGTATCATCCAAATTTACTGATATTAATGTTAGACCTGGTTTTATTTGGAGACTGTCAGATCCAAAGATAGATTCTTAATTCTGTTAAGAATACCATCTAAGACATCTAATGCATGTGCATGTTCCAGTGGAATATGATCTTCTAACACTGTATAGGGATTCCCTCCATTGACAACCTTTACTAGAACAGTTTCCTGTTAAATGATGACATTATTTGTACTTGCATCGGCTATAGTACAGATGAGCCTTGATCCACTAACCATATCTTTTATGTCACATCTAAGAGCTTCTGCCACACATCTAATGAATTCAGAGGCTTTCCTTCCACTGGTGTAATTGTCTCCAACATCCACAACAGCCTTCTCCACTACTTCGCACAAAATTATATGTCTGATAGAGGTTTGCATTGTTTAGCAAATAAACATGAATTGTTCAATAACACTCTTAATCTCTTCATTTCCACCTCATTCAGCTTGTAAATTGTCTGTACAGTAAAGGGTTGTACCCCAGACGAAGTTGTAGAACTAGAAGAACTCACTGTCTCTATAGCAGCACTATCTGATTTTATATTCTCCTGATTACCATGACACACATGCCATGTGAGATGTGTGATCCATTTAACTCAATATGAAAATGCTCACATCCATTCAAGAAAGCATTCATACCTGATCCAAAGTGACTAGCTTCTGTTGTAGAATATTTCAGGCAAACCTCACTATACATTTTGGAGACTGATTTACCCTAGGACTGGCTTTCCTTGAGAACTAACCACGGCCAAGTGTCCTTCTGAGACCGAAACAATCGTTTTTTTTATTTCCATCATATTTTTATCCTTTTATGACAGATAATTGACAACTGCTGCTACTAGCAGTTTCATTATCATCACTAGTAATTGGTTTACTGGGCCATTTCTTTTTTGCCCCCTTTATCCTCACTTCTTTTTTTTGCTGAACCCAAAATTTAAAAGACTCTGAGACATGACATACCCTTTCCACTAAAAATTCAGCTCTATTGTTTCAGGTTACATTTTTATACTGTGCTTTTTAACTTTCTTTAGAGTAACCCTGGTTTGTGCATCTTGATTGGCTTCAAACAGTCACGTGGTGATGAAAGAAACTGTGAATGAATTTTAAACAGTGTTTTTTGAGTAGTGAAATATGAGTGAACATTCTTTTCAATGCTATTCAGCGAGGGAGAGAAAAATTTAATGTCTTCACTGCAGAGCAACATGAATGAAAGTCATCATTCTTTTCTGTCTATGTGCAAGTTGTTTTATTTAATGTAGTTATATATATGAGTTACCTGTCAAACTAGTTACTTTGAACATTTTGAATTTGACATAGAACCATATTCTGTATTCCACTTAGACTTCACTCAGAATGTTTTTTGTTCTTGCTTTCACTTCACTTATGGAATATGATGTGCTGGAATATACATAGATATCTTATTATTAATGTAGTATTTGCCTATTTATTACTGTGTATAGACAGTATGTGTAAATTATTTTTACCAGTCAAACTACTTAGGTAGAGTATTTACTATAAAAACTGATGTAACTGATGTGATGATCTGTTTTAAGGTTCATATTAATACTGCATTATCTTATTGTATAATTTACCAAATAATTGTAATGTCAATCCTTCATAGTGCTAAGAATAACAAAAGTACTGTTTAATTTTTCTTTTTATTAATTCAACAAAACACCCTCTGCAACCATTTCACATCGAAAAAAACATGGAAACGTGGCCGACATATCCACTCTAACACATGCCCACACCCTCTTGTTTCACACACACATAAACATACATACATCTGACCAATAAACAAAACACATTAAACAAACAGGAACAGTAAATAATAACAAACTGCGGAGGTTCCCTCAAGTTGTTGTCGCTACAGTATATTTTGTATTTTATTCATGATGCAAACTTGTATGCAAGTGAGTGCTCCTTTTCTTTCTTTTTTTTTTTGTAAGAGATAATGCAAGTTATTTCTGTAAAGTTGTGGAAATTTTCTACTGATACCAAGATGAAGGACAAGAAACATATCACTGTAACCCTCCTTGACAATAGATACCTCTGAACACTTTATAAAGAAATAAACATCAAAATAAGTACAAAGAAATTACAGACACACAACCATGTTCTCTTATGTCAAAGGTCTCTATGAAAATGTACAAGAAATACAGCATAAAGTTAGAATAGTATTCAGAAACCACAACACAACATAACTACAGCTAGTACACATTAAACCACAAAAGGCCCAATGAAAGTTAATAACTCATGAGAATAATAGACATACAAGACTACAATAAAAATGGAATTATACAAACACAATGGGATATGAATACACATAAAAAATATAAAAATAAACTTTATACATATACTTGAATCATAACACACTCAGTCAAACTCTCAAAAGCATTCAAATAGTCATTTCATTCAATCCTACTGGGGAGATCCCAGACAACTGGATAACATTCCAGCCTTTATATCAAGGAGACACAGAATCAGATGACAGCTGCTACCATCCAAAACACTCCTTTTCAAGACATTCTTAAAGACTGCAGCAGGTTATCAGCCAAAATGTAGAATATAAACTAGTTAGTAATTAGTATCTAATTAATGACAAAAAGTAACTGATAAGAATTAAACTTTAGGTGAACACATAAGCTGCTAACCATGACAACAAGTAACATATGTTGTTACATTTGAGTAGTTAGATTACAAATGCAGAACACTAGGAGGTGTTAACTGAATTCAAAAATGAAACAAGCAACATTCTGAAAAGGGCATACTGCATGTACAATGTCTAGAAAGTTGACGTAATCAGTCAGTGTTTATCAGTCAAACTCAAATTAACCTACATGGACCCCATTAGTAATTTTAAAAACACATTCTCTAAACACTTTATTTACCAAATTGCTTTTGGGTCTTTGACTTTATTAATTACAGAGTCACTAAAATAACATAAATGTAAACAAAAACACCATCAATATTGGAAAATAGTCCTACTAATTATATGTGGAGGCCTTTATGTATTTTACATAGAATATGAGGGATTTTTCCACCAAATTTTTGGTCAGCGTTTTATAATGAGTGTTGTATAATACAAAAACATACAATTACTAAAGTAGATGCAACATTTAGACACCATCAGTAGAGAACAGTATAAAAATAAGTTGATAATTTGAAGGTTAAGAAAAGCTGACAACAAGAGTACAAAGAACAAGAGATTGGAATATTGAGTATAGGTACATAAACTTGAGATTAAACCGTGATAATGGCTCTAGCAACATTAGCCATATTTGGCAAGGTCTATTCACCATTCATACACTAGACAAGACTTTACCTATCACCTGCTGACACCATTTCCATTACATTTAATCGCTGTGTTTTTTGTCTTTGTAACAATATATAAACCTTATATTGCTTAGTACTGACCATACTAAGTTATTTCAACCCATTGGTGAGAGAGGTTTCACAAATCCTACCTGAATTTTGATAAGTACAAAGCTGCTACTTCAGGATTTAAATTATCAGGATTGAGATCATCCAGATAAATACCTTCAGATTCAGGTTTATGATGCATTTTTTTTGTTGTTCTCATGAAATTCAACACACCTCCAAGTAGTGACTTTCTCTCATCTGTAATAATATGGAAATTCTGTATCTAACCAATAACTTAAATTATACCACACAAAATGTAAAAACTGTACTTTTAGTACATTTCCTGATGTCATAGGTAAAATTATATAGCATACAACAGGTTCCATCTATACTAAGCAACATGTTTGGAAATTGTTGTATTACTATTAACTATATATTTCTTAGAATATCAACAAACTTTTCAGCAGTGATGATATAACTGACACGTGTACTTGCCTGGTCAGAATGTCAATCTTAAAAAATAACTTTCTTCATTCTTACATGCAGATATATTATACATTGGTATAAATGATTTTTTTTGTAGTTTTTACAGAAGCCATGGTCAGTAAATTACTTTAACTGTATTAATAATACTAGTATGAAAATAAATTGCTAATGTCACTGGTTAGGGTGAGTAATTCATTTAATTATCTGTTCAAATTGACTGATTCCATATCTCTGAAGCTATAGATAATAATGCTTACTATAATTCTGAATTTATCATGTATATCTTAATGAAAATTGGCAAACTTTTAGTAAACATTACAAAATCTGACTTTTTAATAAAATATTTTCAATAAATATTTATCTGTGAATTTCCAAATATTGCATAAGTATGAGTGAAAGGTGATTTTTCATGCCAACAGAAAAATATTTCATTTCATCTTACAATTTTCACATTTCATTTGCATAACCTTTAAAACCTCCTTAATGAATATGAGAAATCGATGACGAGGAACCCACTTTGAGACTAATAATGGCTGGAGACGGCTTGAATGGGTAATGAAGAAAAACTTTAACATAAGTTTAACATAACAGCAAATGTACAACGTTTCGACAAGGTTTTGTCATCACAACTGACAACAGTGCATTTACATTACTTAATAAAAGACTGAGATACAGCAACTAAGAAAACAAACTTGAAAGAACAAATCAGATTCACCTGACAATTTTCTATACAATGTTTTTAGATTACTGTCTTGAATAAATGTTAACATATTAAAAACTCCTCCAGGAATAAAAAAAAGACATTATAGTTTGAACAGCAGCACAAAACAGTCAAAGAATTTTTTAAACTTTTAATGAAATACTGACAAGTTCTGTTGTCAAACAAATAATTATGTTTACCAATTTTCATAATCATGAACAAGTAGTTATTTAGATCCATTTGCCGGCATAAGTAAATAGGTATTAAGATTTTATAGCAATTGAGTAGTGAGAAATGAGAAAAAGAAAATGTTTAAAAAATCAAATAAATAAATAAAATATATATACATACACATACATACATAAATAAATGCCAGTTGTCTTTTGGTAATACTGTTCATCTGTGTCACTTAGTAACAAAACTATATATACATATAAGATGCAAACTTAAAAATGCAGAAAACTATCTTAATTGTATAGGTTGCATCAGCTTACAGGGGCAAAGACTATCTTAACTGTATAGGAGAGTTTCGTGAACAGAGCTTGCTGAAGGAAAGGTGCCCCCCCCCCAATGGTTTTTATAAAACTCCAATCCATCATTTTTTTGGTGGATCAAGCAAAGCTAATATTTAATAAATAATGGAGTACAACATAACAGAATTTCATGGTATTGTAATTAAAGAAAGATACAAACGTGTTGATGGTCCTAAAAACTTACATTTATCTTATATTTATCGCACAATAAGAAATTGTTAGCAATGAAATTTGCAACAACAAAGGCTTACCACTTCCTTCAGATTTCTTTGGAAGTTCTTCCTCATCAGATGACAGTACTTCAGATTTTAAGTCTAAAGATGATAAAACTCTGACTTTTTCTTCTGGATTCCTCTGGGGCACCTTTGGAAACTCTCCCCATTTCCAGCTAACTGTGTCTGATTCAGTCTGACTCACAGCATCATATTTCTGGATCTCAAACTCAGAATCAGACTTTGGGCTAGGTGGTCTGGGTTTTGTTGGACTGGAAAAATGGAATTCATTGTTCTTGAAACTAAACTATTACAAGCATTATGAAAAATAAGAATATGATAAAATGTCAATATATGAAATATAATGTGAAATTTTAACCATAAAGTACAAATCATAAATCCATTAACATGAACCTAAATTAATCGTATCTTATATATCACCATCTTTAAAACATTTTGTAAAATAAAGTGGATAAAAATATTTTGAGATAAACAATTCAAATACTCAACAGAAATGAAGAACTGGTAACAAATGTAGTTATTAATCACTATAAGAAAAGTCATGTATTCAAAAATATTCATGTTTTATGATATCAAAGAATCAATAAATTTAAAAGTTAAATTATTCTTTTGGAAATTGGTAAAAATAAAGTTAATAATTATCTTGTAATTCAGCATAAAGAATGGATAGTTAAGATATGACGAGGAAGTTTCTGTTAACGCTTATAAAGGGATAATGCAAAAAAAGCTATTTTTTAAGAAAATGATATGATTAAAACTAATGGTGAAACATAACTGAAAAAATTAAGAACTTGGTACTTTAGCATGTGTACACATATTGGTTCATTCAAATGTGGAGATTTCTTACTGGTTACAAACTATCTTGTGAGCTAATTTTCACAACATTGGAAAAGATAATGGTTTGGTTATTGTTAATAAGCACAAACTACACAAAGAGCTATCCGTGCTCTGCTCACCACTGGTATCGAAACAAAAATATGTACAAGCCATATCAGTGGGATATAAGTGTGCTTCACTCACATTAAATCAATGGTAAGCTTGTCATTGTGGTTTTGTGTCCTAGTGGCTTATCCCTATGCTTTCTTTTTTATCTTTACAGTGTATGTAAATGCATTAAGTTTTATCAAGTAATAAAATTTACTAATAATCTTCCCAATACCTGATTATTAGTGTTAATCATATCATTTTTGATACACATCTTTTGACATTAAGTACTCAAACTCATTCTTTAAATCATGTTGCCTCACTTCTAGGAACTTGTTGTATGTAAAGATATGATACAGTAATGAATGGCACAGCAAATTCAAATTACAAAAGTATTTTAAGCATGTTATTTTTAAATGCGCATGTTTTAACCTCCTTACATTATGCATTTTATTTTTCTTTCTCATAAATACAGTAAAAGAAGACTGCTGACTGTAAGGGTTACAATGAGTAAATGCAAAGAATATGGATCATTGTTTTTAGAAACATAAACATTTCTCATTATGTGCAATCTTTGACTCATTCATCATATGTTTTCTTTTTAACACAGAAATAATTTGTATTATTTAAAAAAAACCTATTTGTACGTCAAATTCCAAGGCACTCTTCCTTTTGCTTATTCTGTTTTATGAACAAGTTTTCACCCATTTCTCTAGAACTAGTGTATACATTAATACAATTTTGGACATGAAACACTGAGATAGTCTACTAAAGAAATGTTAAAAATAAAATTATCAAGTAATGTCATGAAAGCAATATTTTTGATTCCTTACAAACATTACTCCTATATGTGGAGTTAGAAAATGATTTTTTTTAACTTTTACGATATAATCAATCTTTTTTTTTTTAAATATGCATATAGATGAAGCTTAACAAACCTCATGATTGGTGTAATATCACCATCACTGAAAGGATGAAAATCTCCCAAGTAGCTAGCAGAAAATCTACGTGTTGTCCACTCAACATCAGGAAGAGCAAGTTTGTTATTAGCAAGAGGCAGAGTGACTGACCTAGACAAGGTTGAAAGATTGTTGGAATCATCTAAATAATCATCATCCATCTTGAAAATGTCATCAACATCATCATCAGGCACACAATGCTCTTGAGAAGAACCAACTTTATATTCCAAAGAATCTCTTCGTTCTAAATGACTGATAACTTCTTGACTACGAGGTCGTCTTTTGTTGCCAATTTTTCTTTTTCGCTTCTTTCTTGTTTTGACTTCTTCTTCTATGTTAAATGTAACATCCATAGGCAGCTGTCCTGATAACAGTCTATTAAACTGGTTACTATGAGTGTCTTCATGGCCTCCAAGTGATATATCAGTTTGTACACCAACTGATAACTCATCAAAGGTCTTTTTTATTGGCACAAAATTGGGAACTCTCAGGTTAAAATTATTTGATGGACTAGTTGGGCAACTAGAGATTATTGGGACTGTTAGAATTCCAGACTGAGATGATGGTATGGTATTAACAACTGTAGTTTGGAAATTGGTTTCAACTTGAATACCTTCTTGGGATAACAAACCAACAGCAGAAATTTCTTGTCTTTCAACTTCAACATCCCTACTCCCAAACTGAGTAGTGTAATGTTCATTTGTCACCATACCATGGATAAACTGATCAGAATCCTGCACTGTAAAGGTTGTTTCCACTTCACCAAAATAATCATTTTCTGGTTTGTCATTTCCAGGAAGACACAATGCAACTTCTTTATGATCGCTTTTACTGAACTCTTTTAAATTACGTAATTCTTGACCAATATCTGGACATGATGGGATAGGGGAAGTTGCCAACTCACTGGGAACCTTAAGGTGAGATGAGACCAACTTAAAATAAGCAACTTCAAAATACTTGTTACAAATAATATTAAAATGCATTTAGATATAATAGATGGCTGCTTCAGTAAGTTAATGTACAATATAAAAATGTATCACAATCTGCCAAGTTACTGAACTTAAAATTTTACCTTTAAAATAATTTAATAACTGTACTGCAAGTTAACTTACTAAAGCAGCTCTTTCGTCTAGAGTTTACTTCAGTAAATTAATGTCTTCAATTGAATTAAAATGACGCAAGTAAGCAAGATAAATACTCAACCCAGATATCTAGTTGTTAGATTATAGTTACAAAGTAAATAAATTTATTTATTTAATTTCTTAATATTTGCACCTATTGTCAGATTTCACTAAAAGCACTTATATCTCACACACTTTAGATTGTAACTGAATCAATAAAACGTTATAAAGCCCCCCCCCCCAAAAAAAATGGGTTGGTACCAATTCTACAAAAATAATAGGGTGGAAGGTTATGTGTTTTTTTACTTTTTTTATATTCATTTGTTATTGATAATGTTAAATCAGTTGTATACATAATAATAATAGTAATGTCCATGAAACATAGTGATTATATCAGGTTTCAGTAATCTTTGGTTTAAGATATATAATTTGGTCACAAAACATTATATATATCTGTCCATTTATCTATAACATACTGGATATATGTCAACAGTAATTTTTCCAGTTATTTCATGACTTTCCATTTTGAGCTTTAAAAAAATTAACCAGCTAGTATTGTATATGAATAAAATATCTCCCTTTCTTATTAACTAACTTCCAAGTTGAAAGTCGAGAACAAATGTAGAATGAAATACATGAAAGTATTCTTCTTAAGTGGATATCTAGATAAACTATTTAGAGGATAAACTTCTTTAATAAGGATCTGTAAATAGACCCTTTAGATAGAAAAGGAAAGATTATGTTCAGAGAAGAATTTATACCTTCCTATAGAAAAAAAAACAATAAATACAACACAATATGTTGAAGTAATGCATAAGCTCAACCTATATTAATCCAATGAAAAAGGAATTGTGAATCCTAAAAAGTCACATACCCAGAAAAAAATTATCTAAAAGAAAATGAAAAACAGGGAAATGTACATGGAAAACTAATGTCATAAGTCAATTAGTGACAAAGTTTTAGTATAAAAGTCACTGACGATTCACTATTAGCCACGTAATAATGACTATTTCTATTACAAGTAGTTTCTCAGATAAAGCAGAAAGTTACCAAGAGCATAATCTACCTAGGAAGCAAAACAACACAAGGGAAACTTGTTTACCCAGAAAAAACATAAACAGAAATAGTTGTGGAAAATGTGTGTGCTTGTGTGTAATTTCTAATCTATCAGAAGAAGATAAGATACTCAAAACCTAATGCCTCTGAACAATTATAAAACAGTTTTACTTCTTTTCTCTGTAGATTTTATTATAATGGAGCTTGTGATGTATACGTCCAAAACTTGATTCTCGGAAACTACTGCACCAATAATCACCAATCATAACTGAGTAATATTTTTATAACTAGGCAGTATTTTTATAACTGAGTAATAAATAAAACCACTGGAATTTCCACAAAAATAATATGTTTCAAATTTAATCAATAAAAATTACAAACAAAAGGAGTAAGTTTCAGATTTAACCAATAAATATTACAAATATAAAACATTCAAAAAACAAACTTAAACAAAATTTTTGTTTTTCTTTAATGAAAATCTCATGAGTGTTGCAACAGAAAAGTAAGACACTTTCATTGATAACTGCATCTACAAAGAAATACTTCAATAAAACCTACTCTGTGATGTAATGCTGTGATGATAACTCATTTTTAAACTAAAATTTCAATAAAATCCTTTTACTCATGGTTGGTGAACATTATTGATGTCAAGTATGAGTATATTGTTGTAGAACTGTCAGACAATTCGAGAAAAGGCTACAGGCCCAATAGCCTTCCGCGGGAACTAGCAGTTATACCTGCCCGGAAGGTGGGTATTTCTGTTAGTTATTAATAAAAATGTAACTCAGAGTTAGCTTTTTCAGGTATATAGTTCAAAGAAAAAAAAAAAAAAGGTTATGCACAATTTCCTTATGAAAAACAAATTTAAGAAAAAAAATCTAAATCTAGTAACACTTACTTGTAAACTTGCAATTTAAAGTTCTTGGTTGTTAAAATCATCTCATGCTATTGTTGGCATGCAAGTCTAATTTTAGTAAATTTTTGCTTTTTGTTTCTTTAATTCATATTGGTGGTAACATTGTTAGTTGTGCATTAGCAAATGGCAATTTATAAATGAATAGATGGAACATAGCATTGTTAAGTGTAGTGATAATAAAAAGAATCAGGATTTTAAATAAGAATAGTTTCTGTAGTTATCCTTAATCACACCAGAAATTAAAAATGAGCAAAGTAAAAAGATGTTTGGGCCATGAAATCAAAGTTTAAATCAATAAACATATACCTTGGTTAAGGATTTAAAGTCCGCTCTGGCATTTGCAACACCAGAAGAAAATAGATATTTTTGAGAAGTAGGTGTACATACAACAAAGGCAGAATCACAAAGCTTAAATGCCAGAGAAACAACCTGATGTCACATCTTAATGAATCAAATGAATCATGAGTTAAATAAACATAAAAGGCAAATCACTGACACTTTAAGACATAAGGTAAAAAATGTTTGATTGAAAAAAAGAGAGATATGCCTCAGAAATTATCTGTAATAAAACAAAGGGTCTCCCTGCACATGGACAATTGCAACAAAGATTGATTTCAAAGATACAAGGTAATGTGTTTCAATTGGAACTAAATTATAATGCTTTTTTTTTTTAAATATATGTTCATTGAAATGTTAATTTTTTTTCTATAACTTAATAAAAGTAACTTCAAAGAGTTTGACAGTTGTAAGCCATAATGAAGTACTAAATATTGAAAATATCACAAATGACATTAATTTAAAATTATACATCACCGTTTCTTCTTCTACTGCTTCAACAAAAAATGCTTCACCAGACTCTCCGAGTTTCATATGAATGTCTATCTGTTCTCCATTCACTTCTATGTCCACCTTGATATAAAAAAAATATACATTCAATTAGATATTATTAATCACCTCTATTTTATTTAGCTACCTATTCAAAGAAATTTATCAATGTTCTCTTATTAATTCCATACATAAATGTGACAACTACACACAAAACTTGAATTATTCTTAGAACAAAATTAGATTTAAAAAAATTACAAAAAATTTTCTTGACATCAACTGTGTAATTTTAATTAGTCTAACTTCTTGCACACATTTCCATTCCTGCAATAGAATCAATAGTATAAAAATGCTGAATGAAAGCCATAAAAACTTGCCTTTGTTAATTCTATCACGTCATCAACTTAAAACACTCAACTTTCAACCTAATTAAGAAGCTCAGCTGTGGAAAATCCCATGGAGAAAATGGACCTAAATTTTTAGAGGCTGCTCATTAAAATCAATTTTCCAATAAAAACTAATAATTTCTTTAACATAATTTTTTGATTAAATTTTGCTAATGTAGATATAACTACCCAGCTGTACATAACCATATGGTAGATAAGAGTGGAAAATCTGCAACAGAAATACAGAGAATACAAGTGATGTGTACATCCACGTAGCAGCTCGTATAATCAACATCACTAAGTATGCTTAAAACACAAGTTCCTACATCTAACTCAGGTATAAAATTAATACATGATAGAACTGGATGTTTATTGAGATCTCACAATTGATTACATTCAATGAACTGATTCTACTCTAATGAAACAATGGTAATAATCAGAAACATTAACTTTGATTAGTTTTTTTTTTTTTTTATGAGTCATGACATTAATTGATTAAGCTGAACTATCTTGAATTAATCAAAAATAATTATGAGAATTCATAATAGCAATATCCAAGTTAGTTGAATAGTAGTAATAACCAGAAACACTAATTTGGACTAGTTGACTATATTTGTAACAGTAACCAATTTAATCATAATTTTGATTATTTGGTTATTTTATGTGACATTACTCAATATAATCAATGATCATATGTAATCAATTATAACACTTAATAGAGTTAATCAGCCATCTCTATTAGATAGTAATAGAATTTCCAAAAGTAATTTGCAAAGTGTTAAAAGAAAATAACCGTTACAAACTAACATTATTATCACAGGTAAATCTGAGATAAACAGAAGTTATTTTTAAATCAACATTCAGATATCTGCACAATAACAATGCATTACAATTATTGTCTATGGCAAGAACTTCTTGTATTTTAGAGTTACACAAAAGTCATTTTTGTCCTACTAAGAGATTATTATTGCAAGTAGTTCTACAAAAACATCAGTACTCCGGAGACCAGTGCCATTAGAACATCATTAAAAAAAACACAAGCTATTGCAGTCAGAACATATCTAACCCTTTCGTTTTATTCACACTATCTAAGTTAAGGGTTAAATTATGAACCAGAACCAAAAAACATCAAAATAACATTTGATTTGTGACACAGACCCCTCAATGTCAACATCAATTCTTTTAAAAAATTCATATTAACAACAAAAAATAAAATAATATAATGTGAAACTTAAAATACAATTAAACAATGACAAAAAGAAAAACTTTTACCTTTTATTTAAGATGCCAATGGATTGTTTTAGAAAAAAATCACAAATTTATTTTATGTTAATTAATAAGCCTTAAAAAACCCTGCCTCTGAAACATATACCAATTTTTTTAGTGCCATTTCAAAATTTCACCTCTCCCTAACACATAGGTGTAGTAGTTTCATCTATTGTTTTAAATTCATACTAAATCAAATATATATATATATATATATATATATATATGTGTGTGTGTCTCTTTCAATCATTTTTTATTGCAAGTAACATTGCATGACAGAGAATTTGCTAATAATTACTTATGACATACACATACCATAAACTACAGAAATTTTAAAACATCACTATTGGACTTTATTAATTTCTACTGAAAAGTTGTTGAAGCTACTCTAACTGTTGTTCATAGCATAGAAAGAAAATCTAAAAATAAAATCAATAAAAGGATTGTGATAATACATTCTGATAAAATGACAGAACAAAGAAGGCAAGGGTGATTGTTTCTAATTGGATTCTTTTATATTTCTGCCACTACATATACATGTAATTGAATGAGTTAAGTATTCTATTGGCATTCATTAATATTTTACTGGATCAACAAAATAGTCAAATCTGGAGTATATAAAAATTTTAGGTTTGTATTTTGAAAGAAAAAGGTATCTCCTTCTAGTTGTAGTTTTCTCTCCACTACTTGCAGACTAAAACGAAAAACATTGAAGTCTACTTAATATTTTCTGCCATGAACGAGTGAAATTCCATTTAGTGTAATCATATCCAATACATGTTCTTACCCCTTTTTATAAAATTATAAGTTAGAACCTTTTTACTTTCTTCTATTTATATAATTTCCCACTCTTTTTTTTCTCTCCTGAATTATAATCTTTTAACACATGAAAATATTCCAGCTTAGTATCACATTGCTCTTCCACACATGAAAAAAAAACTTACCACCTTCTCCCGGCAACGTAAAACTCCAATTTTCCCAAAACGAACATGGAAGGGAGAACTGATATATGAACCATCAGGCTGTTTGACTACTACCACATCAATGGCTCCTGTTAATGTTGCAGAGTTGATCTCGCTGTAGAACTTTTGAAAATTGGATATGAACTTGCCAATATAGTTCATGCCTTGTGGTCTCCTAGGATTTTACAATACGAAAGGCTATCCTACAAAGACAGGGAAAGATAAAGTAAATAAAAAAAAATTGAAATAACAAAATCAACAATCTCAAATATCTTCCCTCAAAACACAGAAACGGTCTTTTAAACAATAAATGAGAAGGTCTTTCTACTGATTTCAGACATGTATAAAAAAATTCTATACATAATGAAACACAAAGGTTAATCAATAACAGTACAAAAAGTAACATATATTACAAACTTCTGATCATGTAAGCTACCTATATGGATCAGACGAAAAATAAAAGTTATATTTGCATTATCGAAAATAATCCTGTATAATAAACTGGTTAGAATTACCTAATGTTATAAATCAATACACCAGAAAACAAAAATTCATATCAATGAGACGAAACTACACTCGATCTGTCATATGCCTTTACTGCTAATAATAATTTTGGATGTAACTCCAGTAAGAATGCAAGTACAAAAACATACAAGCAAACAATAATAATTCTAATAACAGAACCAGATGATAATCATAATAGGTAAAGAAATATAAGGTCAATTAATAATAAACCCGACAACATGAATAGGAGAATAAATAAAATCATAAGCCATAAAATCAAACCAATGGCACAGAAAGGTTTTTGTGGGCATGGCAGTACATGTACTGCAACAATATATTTAGTTTAGACATATCAGTGACATAACAATATTAAAGATGTCAACTTTTAAAGTACTGAAATTGGTGAGATAGCCTCTCTTCAAAACTAGTGGGAAAAAGGACCCCCAGCAAGGTCTAGGTCTAGACTCTAAAGGAAGATACCTTAGATGCTCTTTACCTTCGATAATTTTTGAATGTAGAACTTTTCTGTTAAAACATTTTCAACACTGTCAGTACAATTCTTAGACACAATATAAAACCTATTTTATTTTTTTGGGGAGAGGGGGTATGCAAAACAAAAAAATTAGGCAAAATTTGAACATGTGCTTTAAAAGTTAATATTTCTGAACACGCTAATGAACAATTCTTTACACATATAACTTCCTATTAGATTTCTTACAAAAAATTAATATCACAAGATATTTAAAGTGATTCATATAATTACATGTACACACAAATGTGAGAGATGAAATGCAGTTTTAAACACAAATCTTAACATTATTCAGTAAGGCAAAGCTGTTATTCTTAAAACAGCACAGGTTTTTTTTTAATACATTTAGAACATTGATATCCCTTTTTACATAACATTATCTTATCTTTGATAAAGTAGCAGTCATAAGGAATAATTAACATTCAAACACTAAATCAGGAATATGTTTGAGCACTACATAAAAATGTGTAAAGTCTTCATATTTCATAGTGCTCATTATTATCCAGTACTATTTCATATGATGAAAAATGAAGTTAAAAATTGGATAGAAAGGTAACACTCTCTTACAATATCGAATAATATTGCATGGCTGTATATTTGCCTAAACAATTACCACAATTACTTACATTGCCATATACATCAGCATAAGCAAGTTTAAAAATCAGATTTTAATGCTTGTAAATATACTTTATTAAAAGGGAAACTATACATCAAAAAAGAGGGGACACTAAAGTAATATGATACTTACATAATTAGAAATTGCAATTAAAATTCAATGTTTTAATGTTAAACACACACATACACACACACATTCTTCCACAAAACCTAAATATCAGGAAATGATAATACCCTAAATTCTCATTAACAACCCATGAAGTATGTCTGTAATTCCTTAAATGCCTAATGAAACACATCAGACAATACTAATCATGTTGAAATGAACCAAGTTACTTGCCAACTACAAATTATTCATTTTATAGACTATAGTATTGTTACGTCTCCGTTTGTTAATTAACTTTCCGTAACTTCGTTCCGACGAAATT